AGGAGCGAGGCCGCCATGTCCCCGCGCGCCGGGCGCCCCGCTCGCGCGCCCGCCTCGCCCCAGGCGCCACCGCAGCGGCACAACCAGCATTGCCCTGGGAGCGCCTCGGAGCCGCGGCCTCCGGAGAGGAGCACGGGACGCAATGGCCCTAGATACGGGGAGTTCAGGATTAAAAAAACACAATGAAACATGGGAAAATCAACGATAAAAAAGCCTAAAACTGTGAAAAGTAATAACCAAAGCAATAAAGTGATGCTTCTGTGGTGAGTTTTCATTTTGAAGGAATGACTGAAGTTTAGATTATTTCTTGTTTTTTAAATGAATTTAAGTCTAAGGCTTTATGATTTCAATGTCATTGCCAGTAAATAGATTTTAGCATCACGAGCCAAATGTTGCCTGGTATCTGATGCTCACAGAACCAGCTGTACTTTCACCCTGGAGAAAACCCTTCCCCATTTGAGGAATATAGGCCATCAGGAAGATCAGATCCTGCCTTTTTTTTTTTTTTTTTGTGGATGTATTCACATACTTCAAGCTCTTAGGCTTTGTGAATCACACAGTTTCATACATATTATATTCACTTGAAAATATTTGACATAAAAAGAGAAGTTTTGCATTAACTTATTAACTGCATTGTTAAACAGATTTGAAACAAATAAAATTTTGCAGGGATGACAAGGTTAATTGCAAATGACAGGCATATTTCCCATGTACTATTTGAATATTTACCAATCCTCAACTTTTTTCAGTTACCAGACTCCTGTTCTTTCAAAAGATGTATTAAAATGTTTTCCACCAGGAACCCTTTCTTTAATTATTATTTGAGGCTTGTCAGTAGAAAACACATCTAGGACATAAGGACTAAGAAAATAATTCCTATGACTGACGCAAATTTGCTAGGTCTGAATATTAGAAATCTAAGGAAAGATCCCATTAGACTTCTAACCTTCCCAGACCACAGCATTAAATGCTCACTCTTTTCAGTCTTCCACTACTAATCTGAAAGGCAAAATAAACTAAAAATATATAATTCTTGTTAATTAAGACCATATGTAGCTCACTATACCTGTATTGGAAAAAATTAATCAATCTTGATCAATCAATCTCTCCCTTGAAAAAAAAAATTTGTGAGTAGCAGCTTCTAAGTAAATGAACCTATGGAAACCCTGAAAACAAGCATTACTTCCAGGCTAAAAAAATCAACAAGACCTGTAAACAAACTTGACAATGAAAATGTGTACATTGAAATATGGATGCATTTAACAGCAAAGATGCTTCAAAACTTGTGCCACCGCAGAAGCCCTGAAATTAAAGAAAGTTGAACGTATATAGGAGCCCATCCTATCAAGTGAAATGCAAAAAGTAATTATTAAAAATATTAATTTACAGGAGTCTTTACAAAACATTTAACTGTAACAACTTCAAGTAAATGTAGTAAATACAGAGTTTTTTTTTTTTTAATTAAAGGTTGTACTTTATTTGCATTATTAAATTAACTTCTAGACAACCCTTTACTTGTTCCAGAGCATGCAGTTAGAAATGTTTTGCTAATCTTTGTAGCTAACATTTGCATTGATTTTTTTTTCTAATTTCATCTTATGAAAATCTAACTCCTGTTACTCTAATTTGAAAATACTTCAGTACAGGTTATCCTTATCCATGCTACTAGCATTTACTTAAGCAGTTGCACCAAGCTTTCTAACTATATTACCACATTCTGCCTTTGAATTTGTACAGTAGTTTAACATAAACATGTAAAACACCCTTATTAGATATATTATATATTATATTAAGTTTGAAAAATAGGGAACTTTTAAAATTCAGCTTAGTAATAAAGTGAGATTTCCATTGCAGCTTATTCTTGTGTTCAAAATATTTAAATTGCATTAATAGAATTGGGGAAAGATTAAATTATTTACAATAAAATCTGTATAAACCTCAGAACACTGAAACAACTTTAAATCCCCAATAGAAATAAAAAAAGCTATTTTTCCTCTAGAATATTAAATTATAGCATAACAGAATGGGTTACACGATAGCACTGTGGACAAGAACGTACTTTTCCAAGTCAGAAATGTTTGCATTCATACTTCTCCTCCTGCAATGCTTTATCTATAGCCCCAGACCCTCCTGCTTGCTTAGGTCCTCTGTGAAGCACTGAGACAAGTAGAAAAACTGGTTTCCTACATCACTGAGAAATACTTCACCTATGGGAAAAGCACCCGGGTTCAAACCAAGCTCTGGGTACTCTTCTGAAGATGACCGGGATTTTGAGCTCTATTTAGCGTAGAGCCACCTGTCTTGTAAGAAGGGAATAAGTGTGCAAACATTTTCAGTGGGAGAGATTAATCTAGGCAGTATCTAGGGTTGATCTACATGGGGTATTAATGCACAGGTATCTAAAATCAGAGTTACAATTTATAAGAGATGTAGGTTACTACATCCAAGGAGAGTTACTGAAGAATAAGCTCACGCCCTAGCTTACTGTGTGCTCAGCTCCTTAGACAAAGAAGCTCTTCTTTATACACACTAATTCTACAGTGTTATCAGTAAGAGCTTCTTACTGCTTTTAGCAAGGAAGCACCAGTTCATACATTTTATAACAATATTTACAAAACTAAAACACACAGGAAAGTGAATGAAAGCTAAAAAGAATATTTATGTCATGATGTTTTGCATACATTATTACAGCATGTTAATTTACATCCCTAATCTAAACACTGCATTGTTTATTAAATTCAGTGATCGCTCTTTCATTTCCTTTTCCCCAATCCAAGAGGATGGTACAAAGCCCAGTCTTCCTGTGTTGGTTCTCTGTCCTTCTGATCATTGTTTTTCTTTGTACTCTTTGCAACTGTTCTTTCTCTACTTTCAATTTTTCTTTCATACACAACGTATGAAAAAACAAACAAACAAAAAACTGAAACAGAAGGCTACATCTTTCATGAACATGTCAGGAAATTTGCTATTGTTTTCCAACATCCTCACAAACAACCAAGGGCAGCTCTTGATTTGCCATTCCAAAGTGTAAGACACCGCTAGCTTTTCTAGTTGGAAATAGCCGTCTGTGCTGGTCTGAAACACTGTTCTGTGATGGATTATTTCAAGGGCGTGACAGAAATGGATCAGAAACACCTAAGCCAAAGGCTGTTGTTGTACAATAACAACGTATGTTAGCTTGTATTACCCCATCTGACCAGGGAATTTAAGGAGAGCCCCTAACTTTACCTGGTGCTCCTTGGGTAAGTACTCACTGAAGCAATCACCCTTGCCAACTTAGTCCTACAGTACGTGAAATCCACTCAGTTATTCATTAACCTATGTGTATGTGTCTATCAATAAGCTCTATCTTAAAAAATGAAAATCTGCTTTCTATATAAATTCTTCATTGACTTAACGAAAAAATAAATAAATAAAGACTTGAGGATCTCCCAGACATTTTATGATATCTCTTACTTCAAACATTCTATTCAAGACGCTTGTTTTCATCCCACCCTAAGCGCACGGCATATTACACCAATCCTTCCCACATGCTTTGCTCATCAGGCCCTTACAGTAGGAGCTTTCTGGGGAACAGACCTCTCCCTGCTGCTACGTGTGTTTAGTGTCCAGTGTACTAGTGTGCATGTTGGGGTTGTAATTGCTTATATGATTTGGGAATAATTTGGATGAGCAACAGATTTTGCAGCTTTGGCAAAAATTATGTGTGAGATTCACTCAACCCCTGTTTTGGTATCATTTGGATGAGCAACATATTTTGCAGCTTTGGCTTCTTCTGTTATACATATATATATGCGTGTGTGTGTGTGTGCACGTGTGCATGCATACATATATATGTGTACATATATGTATATATGCACACACACCACCTAACATTTCTTGCCTCACAACATGGTTTGTTGCTTTAAAACTTTAGCCATTTTCATCATGGAAAAGTTGAGCTGCATATCTACCTTCGATATGTTAAAATTCTCAGACTGCCTTATGAAGGAAAATGGGCCACAGTCATGTATCTGCCCAATGTATAAGGACAGCAATATGAGGAGAACAAACCCTCTACCCTGAGCACAAAAAGCAGTTTCACCTTTGCCATGCAAGAATTATATTTTATCCTCTCATATTGTGTCAAAATACTTTTTTCCTATGTAAAATATCT